ATATTGCCATAATGACAATAAACTACAACTTTCCAAAACTTTTAAAATAATTTAAATATAGGTCCGTAGTGTTGCTTGTTACTTAGAATTTTTGCCAATAAAATCAAATATAACTTTATCTAACTTAGGACTGTGATTGTCTGACTTTAAAACTTTCAACGCAAATTATTATTAATTTGGACAGTAAAAACTTTAGATCTAAAAAGAAAATAATCATGAGACATTTGTTTTTATTATTAAACTTGGAACCGGTACAAAAAAAAAAAGTAATAGCTAAAATATTGTTTATTAACATCACTTATTATCATAAGAAAATAATAGGTAATAAATTCCAAGCTAAAAAAATTTGAACTATGAAAAAAAAAACTAAACATAAATTAAAGAAATGTGTCAACTGCACTATATTATTTAGTAATATAATATAATATATAATATTGACACCAAGTTATATTTCTTTACTAGGTACAAATAAGTCTTTAATAATATACGAATGTATATAATTATTTGTACTGTGCACAAATACTATCACTTATAATAAGACAACTAAAAAAATATCATCTTTTTTTATTTTTTAGGTTTTAACAAGAGGAGCAATTTTATGATAATATATTTTTGTTTTTGTTAGTTTTGTATCATCGTGTAGTAGTTTTAAAAAAGAAAATTTTCTGATTTTTAAAATTGAAAATAATTCCTGGTATCAAATTTTAATTAGCTAATCCTTCAGGTGGTTAAAACTATTCCCAATGATTTTCTTAATACTAGAAAAAAACTAAGTATTGAAATTCATGGAAAACGTGGTGACGCACTCTAGCGCATTTTGAACCTATAAAAAAATGTACTTGTGATCGATTAATTTATACTTAACTTTTTTTCTCCAGTGACTTTAAATGTCTAATACTTATTACAATTTTGATTTTTGTAATTAATTTTTGTAAAATTAAGGGAAGTAAAATAAAAAATGTAATGAAGTTTACTTCGTGTAAAATGACGAGTATAAATCCGTTTAAATAATTCATATTATTTCAATCTGTACGTTAGACATAAATACCTATGTCCTATACCACAGTCAAGCCCGGATTAAGGGAGGGCCAGGAGGGGACAAGTCCCCGGGGCCCACGTGTGTTAAGGGCCCATAGTTTTCTCGGTTTAAAATTACATTAAGTGATAATTTGTACTTTTTATAGTACCTACATTAGTACCTACAAAAATATTTTTATTTTTTTTTTTGTTTGAGCTAACAGTCGATGGGGCCCGTCGACCGTGTTTACCACCAATAGTATGGTAAGTGGGTAAACATAGCGTCATAGCCATGTTTGTGTTTGTTGGGAATAGGCTTATATTTTGATATTACTGTATTTAAAAATAGAATTTGGAAAATTTGTTTATGTGACTGTCTCGGTCATGGATACTCATAATTTAGATACCTACCGACTAAACCTGTTTACATAACAAAACTTAATTTTATGTGTTAATATATATTTTAATAAAAATATAATATTTTTTTAATATTTTTATCCTCATTCAATCGTTATCATTAGAGAACGGATTTTTAGGTTTTTACATATTTTTATTGGTTTTATGCAGCTTTATGAGAGTGAAAAATGTGGACGACTTATCCATCACAGAGTTCGTAGGAAAAAATTTATTTAGCATATTAAAGCATATTTTGGACTTAAGAGAATATTTAGCCTATTTTTCATATTTTAGAATATAATATTCTATTATTGTTCATAAAAAATCATATTATATATTATTAATTTATTGATTTGTGATATTTTCCAGCAACAATTTTGTCTAGGAAAAAAAATTATTTTATATAAGAATGATAAAAATTAAAAATCATCCAATTATCTACTTGTTTGTAATCAAATTGGTAATGATGATCATTCTGTTACTCTTAATTCATGGTTGTACTTACGATCTTATAATAACGTGATAAGAATGATTTCTAATAATAAATCTATTTTTACTTTTATATTGTTTATTATTTTAACTTTAATGTCTGACGATTTAGTTAAATTTGTAATAGGTATTCATTTTTATTTTTTTTAAATACCGAAAATTAACAAAAGTTTAAAATATTTACATAAACAGTGGATAGAGTCGTATAATAAAACAAATGATACAGTATTTACGACTGATGGTGATATAGTTTAGTAGGTAACTAAGTATGAACTAATTTTGTTTTTATTAATTTTATTTGTTTTTTTATTAATATTTCATTATATTTATAAAGTTAACTAAGTATGAACTGATTTATATTTTATAGTTAAATAACTTAGCTGTTACTAAAGGCCATACAAGTTATGTATTGTTTTTATTAAACTATTTTGTTTTTATATAATATATTTCATTGTATTCATAAACCTATGAACTGTTTTGTATTTTTTATATATAAATATTTTATATGTTACCAAAAAGGAATGGTACATAAGTTATTTATTGTTTTAATTGAATTATTTTGAGAAAAAAACAAATCATATTATCTGCATATTTACAAGTTTAAGGAATATTTAAAGAATATTTTAGGGTTTTTTTAGAACATATTAGCATCATATTTTAAGCTTTTAAGAACCTAAAAATCTGCTCTTTAGTTATCATACTTAAATAAAAATGTTTAAATTTGTTTTATTGTTTAATTTTATAATTTTAAAGAATTGTTTTTATTGACGGGGGCCCACAACCATGTATTGGCCCCTGTGCCCCTGAAGCTCTTGATCCGGGCTTGACCACAGTAGATTCCAAATAAATTTACACACATTAAGCATACATAATAATTAAAGATGATGTACTTCAAAACACCTTCCTCGCTCTTTCAAATAAAATCTGTCGATATTTAAATTAGATCTTATCTAGTTAAAGTATTTAGTTAAATGGATAGGTAATTTAATAGTATTACATAAACCAATTATCAGGACATTTCCAATGTGTTTTCTGGTCCTAGAAATGGCAGAGATTAGGTACTAGAAACTGGAATAATATGACTCATGTTCAAAACACAATATAAAAATGTTTGACGTAGGTATACCTATAAAGACTTATTCAGTCTGAAATGGTAACTGAATAATACAGTACAGTTGACATCATTACTTGAGTGGCCGATAAGGTAGGTAAGACACTTGCTATTGAAGATTACAGGTGTAGCCGATTACTATCGTTGAACGAGTAGGTAATTTAAAATTGTGTATTATGTACCTATTAATAAAATGTTTTACAACTTTACAATTGAGCAGTAACGTAAAAGTAACACGTTAAATATTTTTGTTTTTTAGAATTTTTTCCTAGTAGTGACAATGTAATATAAATTACTTTTGATAAATAATCTTAAAACATGATGTGTTACTGTTTTGATTTATTCACACGTGTGAAACTCAATAATCAACTTACTTGGTAGGTATACTTATCTACGATATATTATTATACTCGTACTTGTTCACTGCAGTATATAGGTATGCGTTATGTTTTATTCAGTACAACATAAACGAGTCAAGAACTGGCAAATCGTCACAATACTTGTCACACTAACACACTGCGTACCTACCTAATATGCATGGAAAACATCAAAACACGACTCTAATGAATCATCGATTTCAATCCCTATTCACAAAGGATACATTTTAATATAAAAGAGGACTAATACAAGAAAATACCTACAATGAATATTATAATAAAATAAACTAATTATTCTATTAAAAATGTCCATATAATATATTTATATAATTTTAGCTTGTTGCAAGAAAATGAAAATAATAACAATAATAATAATTATTAAATACGAGCAGGATACATAAACCATTTATTAGATATTGGTCTTACCCTAATCACTTTGGAGTAGATCACTATTATAGGTTAGAAAAATTTCATAACATATCTGTCATAATGTTAATAACTTTTTTTTTAGGAATTATTTTTTTTTTTTAATCAGTACTCTACTTAATAACTAACATTTAACTAAATACCTACATATTATTATAAATGATTTGACATAATTCAAACACTTACCCATATTTCAATAAGTTAACTCCCTAGGAGTTATCAGCTGATAACAGACCATTCTAGCACAAGTAGTATTGTTTATCAGCAATATAGTAATACTAGGTATAAGAATAATGGTTAAACTAGTTACTTTACAGCTCTACTTAGAAATTGCTTATAAGTTATAAGGAAGTAAAAAGTTCAAAAAAATAAAAATAGATTTTTAAAAATCATCATAATTATAAAAGTAATATTACCTACTTTATAATTGAAAATAAACATTTGTATAATGGTAGACTAAAATATTTAAAATTGTCGTTGGTACTCTTCTTTCATTTATTTTATAAATATGCGTATACTTGATGAAAACATACTGTGCAAATCCATCTACAATCGAAAATAGTACATTACATTTAAAAAAATTAAATAGAATTAAAAATACTTTAAAAAAAAATTGTTATTTGTCAATTTTAATAAAATATTTTAAAAACCTATTCTTATGTCTTATGATTTATTAAAAATTACACCGGTTAGAAGAAACTAATATTATACATAATAAAGAGTAATAAAAATAGATATTTATGGTTTCTGCATCACATTTCAGAAAAATAACCACAAAAATGCTATTTTAATTTTATTTTTTTATAATATATTATTATGTAGGTACCTCATCTCTTTCATTTCTGAGGCTGATAACATACCATGATCTGACTGGCCCAACCCACAGTTTTACTTATAACTTCTATTATGAGTATTACATAATAGTTATGAGTTCACACTTGACAGTTGTGTACGGCTTTATTATTAAATAGGTTTAGTTAATAATGCAATATGTTGACAACCACATTGTTTGTGTTGGATGTGCCGACACTATTATATTAAGTTATCTGATGATGAATGTAATATACAATAGTATATATTTTACAATTAAGTAATATATACTCATATTTACTTTTATGTTAACAATTCCAGACACCAATCATTTCTGTTGATATTTTCATACATAATAAATTCATAATGTGACAATCGATACCACAGAACAAAGTTTATTAACCTATTATCTTATAATACAGTACCAACTTTTTTCAAATACATTTTTTTTACATTGTACATAGTAGTTGTAATAGGTAAATCATATTTCATTTCAAAGAATTATGAGTACCTAATTATAGTTATCTATATGTATCATCAAAAGCAGTTCAAGTTAATTTTTATTGGAATATCTCTGATTAATAGGGTTATCCGGTGATTTCATCCATTCTTTGTTCATAAGTTGTTTTACTTGAGATAAACGCATAGATGGATTTTCACTACGTAATCTTGGTAAATTCTCTGCTTCAAAAGCAGTATATGCTGCTTTTAATCTTTTTTCAGGGTGTTTATCCAACAACTTTTGAGTAGGGCTGTAACAATATTATAATATATAAAATTAGAAATTAAATCAATAACTATTGTACTACAGTTGAGGTAAATTACAATGGATCTTAAATGACCAATAAGCATATTTTTTATAATCATATAACAAAAAAACCTAGAATATATATGAAAGTAAAATTAAGGACAGTTGAATTTAATTTTAGAATAAAATTTTATAAGTGCCAGGCACCACATCATAAGTAATATGTTTTATTTTAATATAGTTCTTTGACTCTTTTATACTAGTAAATTTTTTAAATAAAAGTTAATTATAATAATATATAGTTTATAAATAATAATTAACATTTCATAGTTAAACACAAAAATTGTGGTAGTCATTATTTTTAATAGTAGGTTTCATTTTAAATTTATCATTTAAAAGATTATTGTAGTTGATATATTAAATTTAAATTTAATGGTAAATAATTGTCAACAAAAAATAACTTTGAAAGAAGATAATGTTTCAACCTCTATTTTTAAGGATGATTTATAATCATAATATAATAAGTAATTGAAATTTTTATTAAAATTATTTTAAGTTGAAATAATTGTTAACAAAAACATTACTATATTATAACACATATTATTATTATTAATTGATATGTTATAAATATTGAAGTATCATATAACATGGGTGTCCTTGATATTTTTCTAGAGGGGGGGGGCAAAATAAATTAAAAAAATAAATGAAGATTTTTTTATACATTTTATACTTATATTTTATTTATAGAACATTATTAAAATTAAAGTTTTAAGTATAAAAATCAGGAATTTTATAAGTTTTTAAAATACTTGAAAAATTTTAGTTAATTTTTGTTTAAATTTTTGATTCTGTTAAAATTAGAATTTGGATGCTATTAAAAAAAAATATTAACACTTATTTTCAAGCTTTTTAAAATAGAAAAAACAATTTTTATTGTATTCAAATTAAATTTTAAATTAGATTGTTGATATATAATCGTTTAGCTTGTAAGGTGTTCAATTTAATATAGCTTGGTGGCAGACAATAACAAAAAGTACTAGTTTTAGATTATTAAACTAAGGGTTAAAAATTTAAAACTATTTTAATTTATATTATTAGAAAACAAAAATTAATAAAATAAAAATAGGTCTTTTAAAGCAAAAATAAACTTGGCTTAATAAATGTTAAAAGTTTTACATTGTAACCATACAATGCATACATTATAAGTTGTTAAAAAAGGATTATAAATACTGTTTTTTTTTTCTTTTTGCTTTTTTTTTTTTTTTTTTTTTTATTATTATTATTACATTTATAATCTGAACCAAGAAACAAATTCTACTATAATAAAATTTCCATTTTAAATTAATATGACGTGGTAGTATTACTAGTATATTACTATCATACACATTTATAACAACCATCACTTGAATCATTAGTATTTTCTCTAAAAATAATATACTTATTTACTTCAGCATATTAAGAGCCTCATCAACTGTTCGTGCTTCTTCATCATGTACAGTCAAACGATTCAAGTTTTCTTCAATTGAACTTTCTACATCCAATGTTGGTTGACTTGGTTTTGACTTAGGATTTGATGGAGTTTCAAGTTCTTTCTAAAAATTTTTAACTATGAAGCAAATATAACATAATACATATATTGATGATTTAAAATCTGTATTACCATAAGTTGATGCCTAGTGATTTTTTGGTTAATTGAAGTTGTCTTAATTTCACTAAGTTCAGTTTCCAGTAATAATTGTGCTTCTCGTTTTTTTTCGATTTGTTCAATTTTTTTTTTCTCTTTTTCCTCCTAATATTTTACACAAATATATAATAAACATATTTAAAAGGTAAACATATATATACAATTGCAATATTAGTAGTTAAATTATTAGAAATAAATACAATCAATTATCAAATAATTATAAAAATATTTATATTACTGCAATAATGTGAATCCCAACCAAAATCTATATTATATAAATATATTTGAACAAAAATAAGATTGAGTGCTAATTGAAAGGAATATAATCTAAAAATTACATAAATATACAATACTCTTATTTTTAATTGTAAATTTATAACTAATATTTTTGTATGATAAATGATAAATTGAATATATGCACCTATCGATATTTTATACGATTAATAAATAAAAATGTTTTTTATTACAATATCATACACATTATTATTTACTAAAAAGGTTTTTATTTTCATATAATTAGTACAATATATAATACAACTTGCCTTTCTTTTTTGTTTTTTGATAGAATTCTTGTCATCATCTTTCCAAAATTCATCTTCTATCGCTTTTTTTTTTTTAGCATCTGCTTCTTGCTTAATAGCATCTTTTCGAGCTTTAGCTTCCAAAGCTTTTGAATTCATGCCAACAAACTTCTTGGGCATTTTGAATGCACCTAATATTAATCAGAAAAATATAAACAAAAAATTAACTATTATTATATTAATTTTTTATACATGATATAATGTATTAGAATATTTCGAGTACTGAAATAACTCATATATAGATAATTCAATTACAAACTTTATTTACCTTTTACACAGTTCAATTAATGTAAAATAACACTAATAACAAATAATCTGCAATAAACATAAATAGTATAATAATCTTATAGTTGTATCTGTTAATTGTTATTATAGAATATTATTAAATGTGCTGTATGCTATATTGTAAATATAAATATTAAATAATATTATTTTAAATCTTAAGGCATAAATTATCTCTCGTTCACTAAATAATAAATATTAATCTTAATTATCGTTTAATTCAGATTTCAAAAATTATTCGCAATCATGTCACTGTCTACTGAAGACAACTGATGAAATGATTAATGATTACTGATTACTGAATTACTGTATACGGTCTGAAAATTATTGAACTTCAATAATATCATAGAACGTTATACTTATTGTAATGATAAGGTGTTGCAAAACCATTGACCCTCTTAAGTCTTAATATAATGCGTTGAACTTAAACATAGTATTGTTCATTATCCATAAACATATATAATATAATAATAATTATCATAATTTATTTTATTTTCATTTTTGTCCACAATTTATGTAAAATGTGACTACGTAAATGGATTTTTTTTTTAATCCACCTTCCTAGACTATTTTGATACCCCCTGATGTGATAACGAAATACCCTTTGATCAGATGAATGATAATACCAAATTGAACATTATCTATGTACGCGAATCGTTAATACCTACGTAATACCATTGAGTATAATACATGGTATACGTCTTATATACTCAATGGTAATACTGACCACTGATCAGTGAATACAGAAGAGTAAACATTGTAATTATATCATTAGCATTTAGCACTCGTTCACTTTGTTAACAAGCCTGTAACGTTTCCTATTTTGATAGTTGATAGGCAGGTAATTGGTGTTATATTTCCTGGTCTTGCCAATCGCCTACTTGGTGTTGATCGTGACGAAAACTCAATTTATTTTATCGTAACCTAATTTTCAAAAATGATTTTAAGTAATGTCTTAAGATACTCAAAGAACCTTGGCTCTAAAGTAATCAATTTAAAAATTATTGTTTACTTAAACTAATTTTTTTTTTTTTACTATTTTAAGGTCAATGGACATAGGTTACAAAGCACATTAATCGTTGCTGAACACGACAATGAGAAACTTGCAGCAGTAACACGTAATGCTCTTACAGCTGCAAAGAAACTTGGTGGTGAAGTATCTGTTCTTGTAGCTGGCACCAAAATCGGATCGGTATGTTTAACTATTATGTTTTAACATTTGAATAATTTTCAATATTACTTTTTTAACTAAAAGAAAAATAAATGTAATTGCATTAGAACCCAATAAAAATGTATTGGTATTTATAATTAATTATACTTTAGTATTAATTATAATCATGATTTATGTCAAGGTTAAATCCATAGTATTGTCATTTAATTTAGTATTTCATAAATAAATATTTATTTGTAAGTCTTAGGTTTAATTAATTGTGGGTTTTTAATATAATCCTAATGAATAACAAGTTTCCAAAAATATTAGATAATTAAACAAAATAGATACTGGCGAGGACAAACATTATTTATTTCTTTGTTAATAAATCTATTCTTTATAAATTACACATACTCTATAATTTACCTATAATTTGTATTTATAAATTTTAAATTATTCAGTAGATAAGTATCTCATTTTTTTTAATAAAGAACCAATTATGTTTTATTATACATACATGATACTTTTATTTAATACCTGATAATTAGGCCTAGTACCAAGTATAAAAGTTCAGATTTTTTTAAGTTTATCTATTTCAATAATTAATAGAATTTTAGGCATAAAGTATTATGTGATAATTGTTTATAAATATTTTCAACTTAAGCAGTATATTTATACTTTTGATTTAAAAAATATTATATAATGTGTTTTCAAAATAATTATTAATAATGAAAGTTATAAGTTACATATATATATATTTGTGTGTGTGTGTATTAAATTTATTTAGTAATGTGTATCGACTTATTAAGTGCAAATTAAAAACATTGTTGACATCAACCAATTTAAATTTTGATAAAAATCAACTTCAAAATATTTTTTTTACTTTTAAAGTTTTAAACTAAACACTAAATCTTTGTATCAATAATATGTTAATTGAACTAACAAATTATTAAATAAACAAAACAACCTAATTCAAATATTTAAAAAAAGAAATTATAATATACAAAATATTGTTATTACTTATTTATATATTTACTTATTCTCAAAAAATATTTGTTTTTACCCTATCAGGTGGTAGAAGAAGTTACCAAAGTATCTGGTGTAACTAAAGTTCTTAAAGCAGAAGGTGAAGAATTCAAAGGATTTCTACCAGAAGTTCTAGCTCCATTAGTATTAGCTACTCAAAAAAGAATTAATGCTACTCATGTATTAGCTGGCTCCAGTGCTCAGAGCAAATCACTTTTACCTAGAGTGGCTGCATTATTAGATGTATCTCCAGTTACTGATGTAATTGACATTAAATCTTCTGATACATTTGTACGAACCATTTATGCAGGTATAAATTCTATTTCATATAAATTTTTGTTTGACTAACTTTTTTAACAGTTTATGAACAATTGATTATGCTCTGTTAAGCAAGAGTATAATTCTTTTGTACATCTCCACATGATATCCTGTCATAATAGAAACAATCCCAATGGTAGAGTGTCAAGTGTAGAATTAGCATATTCTCTTACTGAACAGAGTTTAGTAACACATTTTTTAATTTATTATTTAATAACTAATGTTTTTAAGGAAATGCTATATTGACCTTGAAGTCACTAGATGCTGTCAAAGTACTTACTGTACGTAGTACCAGCTTTGAAGCTGCTGCTGATGGTGGTTCTGGCTCTGTTGAAGATGCAGTACCTGCAGGTAGCTATGAAAAAGGAACAGGTTCAGAATGGATAAGTCAAGAACTTACTAAAAATGATCGACCTGATTTGGCTTCTGCAAAAATAGTTGTGTCCGGAGGTATAATATATATAACTCATAAAATGTTATGTCATTTTTATGTATATTTTTCCACGTTTATGAAGGACGAGGTGTCAAGTCTGCTGAAAATTTCAAAATGATCTATGATCTTGCTGACAAAATGGGGGCAGGTGTTGGAGCTTCACGAGCAGCTGTAGATGCTGGTTTTGTTCCAAATGATATGCAAATTGGACAAACAGGAAAAATTGTTGCTCCGGTTAGTGACAATAATATTCTAAAGTTGAACATTAGTACAATATATTTAATTACAGGAATTATATTTGGCTATTGGCATTTCTGGCGCCATCCAGCATTTAGCTGGTATGAAAGATTCTAAAACAATTGCTGCCATCAATAAAGATCCTGATGCACCAATTTTCCAAGTAACAGATTTTGGACTAGTTGCTGATTTATTCAAGGCTGTTCCCGAAATGATTGAAAAAATAAAATAATAAGAATTTAGTTAAATATTTTTTTTGTTAATATAATTTGTATTCAGTATCAATATAATGACACTATATAAGTTATATTTGGTTGTTTTACAACTATTTTTTTATGGTTACATGATCATATTTGTGGTTCTATACATTTTATTAGTTTTAAAACCATTTATTGTTTTTTAATATATACATTTATTTTTTTAGTATACTAATAAAAAAAAAAAAAAATGTTACTTAATACTTAATCAATACTCATTAATCATAATAATAATCAGTTATTGTTTTCAATGGTTTAACTTATTAGATCATTGAAGAAAACAAACATAAAACATGTTGCAACAAATCACATTTATATACACTTGTCCAGATGCTAATAAATGGTAATAAAATATTGAGTACAAATTGCATATAAATATAAATTATAATACTTTTAGGGCTTTGGGTGACAATATTTTGCTTTATAACATATTGAATTATTTGTTGTGAAGTCGTAAATTAATACCAATGTGTGTTGAATGAGCATTATAATTTTAGATCTATTCTAATATTTTAAAATATTTAAGGTAAATGACAAATTTACATTTGCAAAATTCATATGTTACATCATTTAAACTATTTTATTTCTGAATGTCTCACACAGATAGTGAAGATATACTTACATCAAAATTTAGATTTCTATTCTAATTAATAGTTATTAATTACAGTTATATTAAATCTTAATAAATTACTAAGTTAGTGATTTTCAATAGATTTTTGCTGTAGTCTATAATAAGTACCTAATATCAGTTTAAACACAAGGCAATACAGTTAAAATAAAATATTTTTATTTCTCATAAAGTTGCAGTATTTCAATCTTGGATCATACTTAATACTTATTGCACAATAATACTATAAATTATAATGTATAAACTTAGCCTGCTTAGTTCACTTGTCTATGTTATTCACCCGTCTCTCCATAACCATAAGTGTTCATGGCTTCATGAGTAAGCAATTGGGAATTGGGAATAAATATAAACCACAAGTCACAACGTAGATAACTTAAAATTGTGGGTTTCAATAGTTGGCCACACTGGTTACAGACAACAGTCATTGATATGCTATATCAGACGCAGTGCCGAAGAATTTTAAATTTCCTTAGTCATTGCTTGTTTTGTATATCGTGAAATAGATTGCAAATCGAAAATTTTTGTTTTTCATTTTTCATATCGATCTTTGTAAATTAATTTTCTCTTTTACCTCTAAAAATCTTGTCTAACAACTCAGAAATATGTCTGGTGGCTACGACAGAGCAATCACGGTATTCTCGCCGGATGGTCATCTCTTACAAGTAGAATACGCACAAGAAGCGGTACGCAAAGGATGTACAGCCATTGGTGTGCTAGGCAAAGACTGCGTTGTACTCGGTGTTGAAAAGAAGTCTATAGCCATGCTCCAGGAAGAACGTACTGTACGCAAGATTTGCCCTCTAGATTCGCATATAGTGATGGCATTTGCTGGACTGACAGCAGATGCGCGTGTAATCATTAACCGAGCACAGATGGAGTGTCAGTCGCAGTACCTGACTCTCGGTGAAACTGTAACGACTGAATATATCACACGTTTCGTAGCATCTATCAAGCAGAAATACACACAGAGCAATGGTCGTCGTCCATTTGGCATATCGTGTCTGATTGCTGGTTTTAATAATAATGGCACACCACATCTGTTCCAGACTGAACCATCCGGTATCTATTACGAGTGGAAGGCAAATGCCACTGGAAGAAATTCAAAATTGGTCAAAGAATTCTTACAGGTAATAAAAATGATAATTGTTTAAGATCAATTAAGTATGAAATTACACATATTACCGATTTACTATATTATACCTACTATGATTTTACTATATTGGGTAAATTTTGTTTAGGGATTGCATTTTAATCATCTTACATTTATTTGTTTTAAAATATTTATATATTTTTCTTTTTTATAGGATAACTATAATGATGAAGCTGTAAGCACTGAACAAGGTACTATTAAATTGGCAGTCAGAGCATTACTGGAAGTAGTTCAATCTGGTCAAAAAAACATTGAATTGGTAGTGTTAAAAAATAATGAAAAGATGAAGATGTTAGACCCAGCATCACTTGAAGAAATGGTTAATGTCATAGAAGCGGAAAAAGAAGCTTTGGAGAAAGAAAAAAACAAACAAAAAGATAAACAATAAAATTATTTAATTATTATGTCCAGGGAATATAAATAAATCATTTCTAATTTGAGTATAAGTTATATTTTTTTTTATTATGTACCCATATATTACATTAATAATAGTTATTTTATTAATAATTTAATAAAATAAAAGGCTGGGTACCTCATTTTATTTTTATTTCCTTGGATCTATCTTTATCTATACTCTGTTTCAAAGTCATCAGGCTGCAGATAAAAATTGGTCGAAAACTATGCATGTTTTTACACTACAAATAGTGTCTGTTGCTGTCTGTTTTAGCTAAACAGTTTTTTATGGCAACAACTACAGTCAGCTTTAGGAGATTAATCACAGAACAATTAGACATTGCTTGAGAAGTTTGAACAATGTTCTGCGATTTATTTGTATGTCCTAAAGTGATGTCTTCTTATTTGGAACCTAGTACAATACTGTGGTTTTGTTGTCATCTATATTTTGTAAAAGTTTGTTTTGAATATCAATTTTCATATTATTATTTTATAAATCTTAAACATCCCTTATATATCCATGCCACATGCAAACTCAATAAAACTATTGGGAGTTTAATTTATGACATTTCTAATATTAATTTATTAATTTTAATCATAAATTCTTGAAACGCCATTTAACTAAATACATATGTCATAAGCAAATGTAAGGCACAGTAATTCATATTTTCCATACGTCGTACTTGTAGGAAAAATATGAAATTTCAGTAAGTCATTCATATAATGGGTGATTTTTTACAGTATAGTGATCTACAGATTTAAAGCTAGTTATCTATATGCACGAGAAAATCATATTAATTTAATAATTTTTTCATTTATAAAATTATCACTTAGAATGTTCATAAAACATTTAACAATTAGGTAATAAACAACAGATTTGTAGGTACAATAAACAAATTTAGTACTTTTATATTAGAAACTTCAATGAAATATCTTGTTAACTAGCTTCTATCATGTGTCAATAAGATGACAATTTAATAGTTTAAATATATTACAGTTAATTTCTAAGGGTATTAGATTTAAGATATTATCAAGTATATTCTATTGCCAGTGTTAACTTTTATTTGTGGATAGAATTTTTTCATATGGTTTACAACCTTATTATTTTACAATATATAATTTCCATTTATATGACATAATTTTTTAAAGTACTTTTTTATCGTTACCTATTTAGACATTGAACAACTAAGCTAACAATTTTCAATATTATTTTGCTAACACAAGTCATATTCTAAAATCCAAAAACTATTTCAAATATTAGTCATAATTGAATGGTATTGTAACATGTCCTTTAAGAAAAATCAAAGAACAAAGATTGATGGTATTTAAAATAAAAGTATTCCAAAAATATATGTCATACATTTTGTACTTTGATTCTTATAAAAATGAATGGAAATTAAAAAAAAGATTGACAGGTTAAATGATGAAAAAGATTTCAAATCGAAAAAGATCATGGTCAAAATGGAAGAGCTAAATAAAAAAAGACACTTAGTTGATAAAGCCAAATATTCAATAAAGAAAAACATCTGAAGATAGAGATAAATTTTGATATGTGTATTTAACGGTATAGTTTTAACTGGTAGAAACCAAAAATGAAAAAAGATATGTTAACATCTTAAATCTATAATGGCAATAAAAAATGCTACATTCAAGTGATTAGGTAAGAATATGCTGTATTTTCAAAATAAATAATATGATTATTAATCAATTTAATAAAAACATATGAAGAAAATTATTGATTTAATGCTGTTAAGCATTGATAATACTCAACAATTATATCATTACTGGAACAATTTAACAAACACAGTTATGTTTGATATAATTTTTGAATTAAATTTTATCAGTAAGAATATTAACTATAGGGTTGTACTGTAGTAGGTTAGGTTAGGTTAACCAATCCATAACATAGTGCACAATACCAGGAAAATAATATAAAAATTACACAGTTTGGTTATTAAAAAAAAACCTCTAAATATATTTCATTTAATTATACAATACTTCTATTAAACTGTTATAATATAATGTACAATAATAAAAATTATGTATATAACTTAAAACAAAGTGTTGTATTTACAATGTATATATTTTAAATAAACTGCGCAAAAGAGAAAAAGGGAAAAATTCGTAGCAGTGGTATAAGTGAAAATGGTGGTTAATTAAAAGAATATAATGGAATCACCATTATTTCTTTATATGTATATTTATACAGAATTTCATGTTATATGTATATATATATCATATATAATATATACATATTTATGTTTGTATAAAATAGTATTTTTTTTTTAGACAATAAAATAACAAATTATTTAGAAATATTCATATTTAAATTATAAAAAAAATTCCACACACTTACATCAGTATAAAGTAAATAATACTATTATTAACATACAATATTATATACAATTTTGTATACATGATATGGACAAATAAAATAAACTTTCAATGGACTGATATTTGAAGTTGACCACTGGTTTTTTGGCTCAATGTTATTCTTATTAAGATATTCATGTATATATAAAGCTGTCAACCACAAATTGAATTGAGAATATCCCATTAGAAAGTTCATTTAGTAATCCAGTTAAAAAAATAAACAAAATACAATCAAAAATAAATTTACAATTACAGAAGAATTTGATATATTTTTGAAAATGATATGTGTCTAAATAAATATATTTGTATATTAATCATGAACTTCTATTCATAGAGATTTAAGAATTAAGAAATTAAAGTTTTCAAAAAATTCTACTTATTATTTATTTTTTATGGCACTGAGCTAACCTAGGTTCATACTGCATTAAAACGAGTATAACAGAGGTAGCTTGGAGGTTGTAATTTCATAATGATCAGTGATAGAAGAGAATAAACTATATTAAAATTATAACTTGGTGTAGTGTAAAAAGCAGTGTGGTTTAAATTATAAAAAAAAACCAGTGTTTAAAATAATGTCAATTTATGATTATTTGAAAACATTTAAAGTATATTTAGTAGGACTTACTAAGTTATTAATAATCTTGATATGAGATTCTTATTATATTTGTATAGACTACATATATTAAAGAATCTATGATATTAAACATACAACAACAGGTATTCAGTATATCATGTAAATTATGATATTAGTTTCTAATATACATAAAAACTATATAATACTACCACAGGTGGTGTTGATAATACCTTACAGGCAGATATTAAACAAACTTAATTTATAACATATACTTGGGTAATTTGTGATAACTGCACTAATTTTATTCCTAATAAATTTGTTTAACATATAATCAGACAATTATAAACTCATTCAAAATTTGTGTTGAACATGTTAAGATCTTCAAATGAAGCAGCTGCAGCACTTTGATCAAGCATTTGCATCATCATATCAGAAAGCTCTTGTGGATGGCCACTATGCGAATGTGGTGGTACATTATTTGCCACAGCTGTGGCCCCAGTTGCTCCAGCTTGCCAACCCCACATTCCTATGGAAAAAAAACCAATTGAATGTTTTAAGTTTATTATTTAAAATTATTTGTCATTTTACACAAAAGAATAATTAAATAATAATTCAGAAAAATTTAACAATTTCATCTTTATATTTTACCAGGTGATGCAGTTGCTGGTGATGGATTGTGATACGTTGTTTGTCTTGCACCACCACTCAATTGTGTGTATGTTGGACCTGATGGTGAACGAGATGGACTCATTTCTTGATTATATTGGTAACCTTCAGTGACCGGCTAAATTAACAATAAATAGGATGATACATTATTAAAATATTATTATATTTTATTTTTTAAATGTTCTTTTATATTACTTGGCGCAATGTCCATGCTGTTTGTGCAGGTGTTGGACTTGACTTTGTAAGGCGATTAATTAATGGGGATTGAACTTGACTTTGAGTACCTTGATTAGGCGAATGATAGCTAATGGGTGATGCATTTGTTTCATATGTATTAAATACATTCTGAGCACTATTTGGTCTTTGCGCAGTGTTATTGGCTATTTTAAAATAAAAACATAAAAGTAATTTTTAAAAAAAAATTGAAACTAAAACACTTACGTATCATATGCTGACTAGCTGTCGGTGCAGCAGTAATCATTGCATGAGCTTGATAAGGTGGCGCTGCTACATGATCCCTTCTTTGAACTGTATAATCTAATCCAGGTGCCTGTTGTTGATAAACTGGTTCAGAAGACGGATTACTGATATTTACTCCACTTTCAGATGGAGAGTGCATTGAAGATCTAATATAAAACAAATATACAAAATTGTAACAACCATATTTCATCTAATAATGCAAGAACTTACTTAGCTGTTGAATTGTTGCACACAATATACTCAATATCATCAGTATACGGATTTAAAAATGCAAATGCATTTGTTCTTAGCCAAATCCAGTCATGATTTTTACCTCGAAACCGATACATCACTGACATCATTTGGCCTTTCATTTTAAGAACTAAAAAAATGATCAAACAATTAAAAACAATCATTTTTATTAAGGTCATCAAAAAGAAGTTTACCTTGTTCAAAACTTTCTTTCATATGAGTTTGGTCTTCAGGATGAAAAAACTCATAACATGTTTTGCTTAAAAGGTCTTGTGGCTTATAGCCAAGTATATGTGTAACACGTTGATCAACAAATGTAAATTTACCATCCATAGAATGTCTAGAAATGAATTCTAAAAAGAAATTTGTAATGAATATTTAGTAGATTTTGAAAACACTTTAAATTAGTTTTATTTTTTACCAGCATTACTATTAGACCCAGCTAAATCTGTAGTATTTGGAGTGGAAGTAACTTGCAACCGACCAATAGCAACTAAACAACAATGAGTACCATCTTCTTCAACAGCTCGCTCAATTTGAACACCTAAATATATAACATTTTATATAACAATTTAATCATGGAAGTTTTAAACGGAGGGATTTTCGACTATTATGGTAAGTGTCATCGAGGTGATTAGACGACAGATCGACATCATACCAGATAACGGATGATCAAACTGACCAGATGGAGGCCAGTTCTTTATGTAGCCAGTGCAGTGGATGACGGCAAATTCATTACCATCACGAGTTGGTCCTAACGTATTACGTTGTTTGAGACGTTGGTGTAGATTATGTCCCGATATACTGGACATCATACCACCACTATTACCGATTTTCATTCGACAAATGAACCCACGTCGAGAACCCATACACAGTCTCATTGAAGCTATACAATACATCAAATTTTAATGTGATTATGGAAATAAAATATTGCATAAGAAAACAATTAATAATATTCATAATTGACTTACATTGATGACCTTCTTTTTTCACTGTACCAGTTTTCAAATCTAATATACGCCCTGAATTTTGTGGTTCCTGTGTGGATAGTTGCTCTCGAACTTTTTCTACGTCTTCGGGATGTAAATGGTCAAACATACTTGTCCCTAACCAGTCATTCTAAAAATAAAACATTAATAATAATAATAATAATAATAATTTTTTAACCTTTTTTAAAATATAATTAGTAAATTCATACTTGTGAGTAATTTAGTACTGGTGCAACAGAGTCAGAAACATATATAACTCTACCAGTATCACATGTAACAACAAATAAAAAACCATCAGCTGCTTCCAATATTAAATGTTTTAACTCTTGATCCGTTAGAAAGCTAGGCTTGTAGGTTCCATCGTTGTTTGTGTTACCTGTTCCTATAATTTACATAAAAATTTTATATTTTAGTTTTAAGCACTAGCACTAATCGAACACATTTTTACTTTCAAGAGTTAATAATAAATAAATAATATCATCTCCAAAAGCAAAATTACACTAGCCAAAAAATACAAGATTATTAAAAAAAAAATACGAATCATAAAGAACGTGATGTTTTAATAGTAAATATTCATTTATTGAAGTATTTAAGTATATATTATAATTATATAATATAATGTTACAATTATACTATACGAGATCATAATTGCTATTAAACACATTATAATTGAATTTACGGTTGAAAACTTCATATAAATATATTCATTTATTTTGGTAAATTAGTTAATTTATGAAAAATTAAAATCTTTAGTTTAATAAATTACAAATGATAAGTTTTATGCTTTAAATCAGACATAAAATTGGCAATGCGCAATAGAAAAAAAAAACATTGTCATTCACATCTCGCCCGTAAAATAAAATAAAAGTACGTCAAAAACCGAAGGGTGAAACAGGAAATTGACAATGGACGTGACAATAAACAATAGAGCTATGCCGCCAGCGGGCAGACATAACGCTTAACCTGGTGAATATTAAATATTATTATTATACATTATTTCTAGCATAATAGTAATAATAATAATAATAATAATAATAATAATAATAATAATAATATATAACTGGCTTTGACTTGACCGGGTTCCAAACAAACGTATATGCCACCTATAATGCGACAATACTCATTCTCGTCATCCGCATACCGTCCATTTGAATACAATCGTTTTGTACTCGGTATAAGAGGTAACCGTTATTATGACAAAAACGATGGTATAAAGAGAAAAGAAAAATATCTATGTACCTACCTAAGGTATTAAGTGAAAAATAATCATTGACCACTAAAAAGTTATAAACACGACCATAAAATTGCTTTATTGTAACTACTTATCTACTTATAAGATGGTTATTTTCTTACTCTTTTATTTCTACACATTATTGACAAAGGAAATAAATATAATTTTAAATCATCAAACAAAGGTAATGTTTAAATAAGAATTTGTTGTATTCAAATTAATAATAATAGCAGTTAGGAGCACGAGAAGGATTAATCAATCAGCATGTTTTGTTGAAATGGTAAGTATTTTTTAAGGAAACAATATAATATATGTATCAATGAAAAAAAAACATATACTTCGTTTGACATTTTTCGAAGTCATAAACTATACAAGCACTTGTAATAATACCAATAGAGTAGTTGGAGACCAAATAATACATTAGGCAGGTACTTGGTTAAAAACTTGGGCTTAAGTTAGCAAATTCAACGATTTATTTTATTATTTGTATGCTATTGCACCGTGACGATTAACGCTGATGAAAAATAAAAAACTGCAAACAGAGCATATACGCATAAACTATTATTATAGTTGAATAACTTATCGGATACCTTATACAGTAAAAAATTTGTTTTCACTATGCGGTAAAAATAATTTCCTAATACTTACACCATACAAAATATTAACAAATAGTTAATGCAGCGTATGAATAATAAATAATCGGAATAGAAAAATTAAAAAAATCACGCACAGAGAACAGGGAAAAGATGTTGTAATTGAATTCATGGCGGTCTTGAACGTAATTTGGGGTATTAGATAGACTACGATAGAGCACACTTACACACACATTGTCCTGTGCGGAAGGAAGTAAATAAAAAGGGAAAAGGAAACACGCATCCTGCAACAAAGCATTTTTGTTGTCCGAAATGAATTTGCGAGTTCTATCGCGTCCTTTCAGCGATGTTATTATCTAGAAGGAGAGTAGTATAGACGACGTGTGTATGCAAGTGTTATTTGATACTTCCTATTAAGGTGTTGAGGATTAAACTACTCTGGGAATTAAATCAATGAAAATAAAAAAATAAATATCAATGAGACCATAGATATGTTTATAGAAATTTAAAAAATAGGTAATTACAAGATTTAATAACGGATTGTTACATTAAAAAAGATCTAATAAAATCAATTTGATAAAATAAAATAATTAATAGTTAATTCGATTCAAAGTTTACAAATAATAAAAAAGTCACACTAAATCATTTGTTAATTATCATTAGTAAAATTAATTTGATTAGTAAAATTTGAATTCAGAAAATTGAAGTATTTTATGATATTTATATAAATTATATAAACACGATTATCAGTAACTAAGGAAACATTTTCGATTATGGTATTCATTTGTTACGTACTCCATGTACAAATATTATGCAGTCCGCATTAGAGTAAAATTCTAACATTATAAAGTATTAAAAAAAATAAATATATCAATATTTTTGTGATTCTATCTATTAGTTTCAATATATCTTGAAAGAAACAAAGAGGTTCCATCTATCAGCGTAAAAATAACATTAAATTATCAAAAAATAAATAAATAAAATTATTATTATTGTAAAGATAATGTATGCAGCTTACAAGTAATTTTTAAAATTAATAATTGGACATTTTAAAATCCTAGCCATACTACAACAATATAGTTTTTTTTACATAATTTATACAGTAAATAGGTACACCTCACATAAAACACACTGAGCGTTGAAGATTTCTTTCTCTAGAATTTTTACAATCTGTAAAGGTTTGTGAGAGTTATTTATTTAGTGATACACTTCATGACATGGATAGGAGAAGATTAATTAATCAATAGATCACGACATGAAGTTTGTTTTAGGCAATTTCTGGGATTACAAGGAATAGAAGGGATGGGAAATTCTTAAACCAGGGGATAGCGATGATTGTGGAGATAAGAGTATAGGCATTTATAGAATGTCTTGACAACATTTTGTAGTTAAGATTGACTACGTATAATTTAAAATTTACATTCATATCAAAACTTGTACAATACGAACATTAGTGTATCTAATCTTCTATCTAATTAAGATATTACAATCTAAAAATATAACTGGTATTTTATGACTAGTAGGTTTTTACAAATGTTTGAAAACATTTGTTGTATTCACAATATTTATATTTTAAATACGTACCCCTGAGACTTTTCATATGGTTAACAGCCATTCGGAGTATGGTGAGTTTATCTGGTTTCCGAGCTAGCGACTGACATGCCGGCACCATGTCCGAGAGTTCTGTGATGTACGCTGTCATCTTGTTCCGCCGTCGCCTTTCAATTTCGCAATGATTCTCCCTACAGTGATTTCACATGGAAAAGGAAAAGAAAAATCGCAAGATATACATAAATCGTCATAAAACTCTATTCTTAATACTATCAAGCGTGAACGCATTTTGTGTAGTTAAATTACTATTACAGTAAATAGAAATGTATAATAATTAACAAATTTAATACATAATATATAAGTAAGCCTTAGTTTTATAGTATAAGACAAAAAAATCTGATATACAACGTTTAAAAATGGAAATATATATTATTTAATATTAAAATAAATTATAACTTAGCTACAAGTGTTAATAAACATATATTAGGTAATTAACATAATATATAATGATTTAATAATTTAAAGAATGAATTAGTTATTTATATTATTATCATGATTCATGTTTTTTTACAACTTTTATTTTATATACCTACCCATTATTACTAATTATCTAGAACAGATTAAATCATAGTGAATTGTATACAATAAATGTATATGATATTACGATATCTTACATACCTAATAAGACCCAAACTGTTTTTATATCATCTAAACAATCTTACACAGATATGATATTATAATATTAGAAAGCGATAAGTTTGGTATTTTTAAAGATAATCATAAAATATTAAATAGTATTATAAAATACCACCATTTATCAAAGCATAAATTACTGAATAAAATGTTGTTTACAAATATATTAGTCTTATTGAACATTGTGTTTATATAAATATAATAAAATATTATGTTTGTATAACTGAAAAATAATAAAATTAAAATATAATTAAATACAATAAGGATCAAGTTTTTACACTTTAAACCATTTTGCATTTACCTTTCATTAATTGTATTAATATATTATATACACGTTTTTTTTTAATTGATGAACATTTTTACCAAATACTTCAACTTTTAACATTTTCTCAAAATATGTTAAAACTACTGCATAGTTTAAATTATATCTGACTTTCTAAGTATCCAATTCAGAAAAATTATCAGGTGTATGACGTTATTAAGTTACTGGTAACCTTCCAACACGACTATACCAAAATATAACAATAAAAATAGGTGTTCTCAAGAAAAAGAAATAAAAACATTAAGTCATGCAATTTACGTGATGGAAACCTAAAACATTCATAGTTGGTAGCTTAAGGTAGTAGGGCAATGGTCCACTTATCGTATGTAATATATATGTATACTTATCTAAAAAGACTTTCGAATAATTTAAGTTTTATTGACTAATCACCAATTAAGTCGATAAAAATGTAACATTTAAAGCCCAGCTTAAAATTTTTAAACACTAAATAATTAACTTAATTTTGAATATGTAAAGTATTATTTAAAAAAAATGTACATGAAAAACCTAACTTATTAGATTATACATTGTTTTTTTATCTTTAATACAATGCAATTAAAACATTTAATACATGATAATAATATTATTAATACTATAAGTAGAAATATAATAACGCTAAGAATTTTATAGCAGCCTAATTTGTTGATTTAAAATTGTAACAATATTTTTAATTTAGAGGATGCTCACCACACATGTTTTCGTTGTCGTTGTCTTAGAAACGTATAATAAGCAAATTTGCGTTCAGCAGAATACATTTTACGTTGTTAGTCATAAAATTATAATATATTTACTAAATGTCAAAATTATTGATAAGAACCTTATTTGAGTTTGTTTGTCAAATTATTACGATATTTTAATTTTCAAGTGAGCTATAAAATTATTTTTAAATTTTACAATCTCATTAGTTCATAATTCACTTAAAAATTGAAACATCGAAAAAAACTAAAACACAAATACAGATAATGTATTGAATTTTTTGATAATAGGTAGATCAATTTACTATATAATATTAAGGAAAACAAAACTAGTACTGAACTCAAGTATGGTATACTGCAGTAACTGTAAAAGATACTAAATCAACATACGCGGATGGTGTATTTTCTAGTAGGTAGGTACAATCAATTATTTAAATTACTTAAAAGAACAAAATATAAAATTCTTCATTTTTTCCATTTATCTATCTAATCAATAATAAGTATTTATTAATTTCAATCTATCAAAATACCAATAATTAAATATGTATTATTTTTACTTTAAGTACACAGAAATACTTAGAATCTTTTACCCTACAAGCATTATTTCTATTGACTCTATTTATTTAAACTTAAAAAGCATATAATGCAAACTCTCCAACATATGCTATACGTTTTTTTATCATATTTTTAATCATATAATGTAGTATTTGAAATTTTTAATCTGCCAAGTGATTAGTCACCGTTTATCTACATAAAATCAATTATCAATTATAATTGTTATATTTTCACATCATACATGTAACTGTTTTGATTATTTACGGATACGTTTTGTGACAATTATAAATAGGTACTGTTAATATTTAAAACACTATTATACACATAAAATGTATATGGCATTATAATTAATAGTTAAATTAAGTTTGTTTTTATATTATTCTATTTTATACTTTTATGAACTATATTAAAATGTTTATCATCATTTATTAAAAACACATTAGTATTATATAACATTTAAAATTTAAAACGTTAAATAGTTGAGTTGTTTTTTTTTTTTTTGTATAAATGTGTCTTATTTTTATTTATTTATTGTTTTTTTAAGATATGTTTATCATTGGTGACGCATTTAAACATTTTGCTATTTTATCCTTGAGATACACTAATCATGCAGGTATGCAAACATATATAATACTTCTATATACACATAATTATTTCTTTCAAAATAAATATTAAAAAGAAAAATTACGATATAATTTTAAAATATAAATAACTGCACTATGGTAATATATTTAAATAATTACCTAATTCATTAGTGTGATAAACTAATTTCAGAGGCCGTTTAACGTAAATAATTTTTCTTTGTAATTACAACTAAATAACAAGAAATTTTGATAGTTCTCGAAAGAATAAAAGTAATAGTAAAATATGATAATAATTAACAAATTCACTCATTTCCAATTAATATAATACGATATGGTAATTTAAAACATAATATGAGAAATGTATACGTGCAAAATCTACAGAAAGAACATTTTAATCTAGCCTGAAAACAAGATAATATAACATAAAGTTAAAGTATGTAAACATGCATTTATTAACTTATAAAAATGATTATTTGAAGAGCTTTATATTTTTACATAAAATGCTATTAATCGGTCAGATTTAAAGACAAGCAGTTTAACATACTGATAGAAAATCATTTATTTTGCATTACTTTTAATTGGCTATCTTTTGAACAACAAAAAAAAAAAAATATCAACTCAACAATTCCAAATAAAATATATTAAGCAATATTGAATTATTAATTTTAACATGATGCATCTATGAAAATACTAATTAGTTATGAGCTTATCATACAGGTACTAAGGACTAACGAGTATAAGAATACCTACTTTTATTTTATTTTATTGTAAAAATAAAGTTTCTTTACCAAAAATGTAATTTATTTATTTTTTAGTTAAAGGTTTTAAATAGGTAAAATAATTATGATAATAAATATTTAATAAGTTACTGAATTTCACATTATAAGCGTTTTTGTATAGATTTACAAAACGAAATAACTACCTATATTATGTTCTATATAATAATGATAAAATAGAATAATATACGGTTCTATTGTATCTGTTTGATATAAACATACAATTATTACCAATTAAAAATAAATACGTGCATGCATTTAACAATTTTACATATAATGCTTTATTTATTTATTTATTTTTTGAATATGTGTAAAAGAAGATTATATATCCATAAAATAAATATATTAGTTTATTTTCAATAATATTTTACAGTATAGTTTTACTTTTAGCGTACCTACTATAGAAACACGCAGATGCAGTATGAACTTTGGTAATCATTAACACGTTAATTACACAATAGTTAAGGTGACGTGTATGATTATATACATTCTTTCTTATCATACTTTAAATCTGAATTTTTTTAATTTATTAGGTTAAGTTAATTTCTTAGAAATCATATCCAATTAAACCGCGTATTAATCTACATACCACACAAAGTCAATATATTTTATTATAACACCTCTCGTTATACACGAATACTATAATACCTAAATTATTATATTATTATCCTTAACCGATGTTTATATTTGCATTTAAATGTGTAATGTAGTTCATCGTTCGATTTTAAGATTCTCAATACTAAATATATTTTATGAATTGCTTTTATTTTCCCAGATATAAGGAAAACAATGACACACACGCACACACGATTGCTGCTTGTGTATATTACTTATATCTACCCTGCGTGCGCGTTTATTACGGTTTTCGCGTGTACCCCGCGAGATAGTCCGTGTGAGCGCGTTCGAACGCGAGCGTGCGTGTGTGTGTGTGTGTGTGTGTGTGTGTGTGTGTGTGTGTATCACGGTGAAAGGTTATTTATATAATAATATCATATCGCTGCGGCAGCGGCCACCAGCCTAGGTCGCGTCGGACGCGGGGGTGGGGTGGCTGTTGCGCGATGATCTCGCCCAGGAAAATCGTGACAAGCATCCGGTAGGCGGCGTGCGGCGGGCGGGATGCGCGCCTTCTTCTCACGGCTATATGCACAAGCAGCTTATATTCACTCTATATGTGTGTGTGTGTATGTGTGTGTGTGTGTGTGTATAGGCATGTGCCTTGTTGTTGTATAGTTCGCCACGGGGGTCACTCAACTCTCCTCTCTAAACTGTACTCTTGATTTGGCGCTCCGGTTTTTCTCGTTCTAATGCACGGTGGTGTTTCGGTTCAAAATATTGAAAATTTACATGGTATAAAGTGTTTATAAAATATACATATGTACTGCAGAAGACAAGCGTGCGTATAGGTATATATTATTATTACACGTGCATTATCTTTGTGTCAAAGACGGTGATGGAAGGGGAAATAGAAAATTGTTAATGATTGCGAAATTATTATACGAAAGTTGAATAATAATTTCGGGCAAGAGATAATATATACTTTCACAAACCAAGCAACCCCCCCTCCCATCG